GAGCTTTGTGTCACAGCCCTTCTGCTGCCACGGTAACCACAATCCTGCTGACTAACAGACCAGAGTTGACCTTAAGCATGCACGGCAGCTCAGGCATCAGCATGGAGCGTTCACTGACCTCAGAGCTGCTAAGAAGTGGCCAGTTATTCTGGTTCATTGCCATTGTATGGGGACCATTTGAAGACCGTTTTCTTTAACCTTCTGTGACCGACCATTGTATTGCACTTTACATATTTAATGACCTCCATTGTAAGGATGTAATGATTAACCATTAACCGAAAAACAACTGTTCAACTGATCCTTTCAGTAAAAAATAAAAAAAAACAAAACATTTCAATTACTTTCCATTAAACGATCATTCATACTTGAATAGGTGGATTTTTAAAGGTTTTTCAACTACATGAGGGCACAATAGGTAGGTAGCCCTAGATAGACAGGCGTGCTAATAAATAAAGAGCATAGCTAAGAATAATGGTGTTTGGGATGATAGCGATGTACCAAATGATGTACCACCTCGAAAGCAAACATCCACAAATGATAAAATCAAATAAAAATATAGCCACAAGCGGCAATGAGCGGGTCCAAGCACACATAAGCCCAAGAAGCTCTCATGCACTTTGAGCCAAAAGGCCTAATAAGGCCTAATGCAGTTTGGGCCTTCGAGGCAGAGAGGCTGAAAAAAGGTCTGAGTTCCTCAACAGGCCTTCATTTGTCATGAACTAGGAGCAGGGGGCTTTAAACCTAATATATGTTTATATTTCAATTTACTGATCTACAAAGGTTTGAAGAAATATTTGAATAATGGTAAACATTTCTGTCTTTGTTGTGTTTGCAAAGTATTTTGTTTCTCCATGTTAAAGGCTTTGATAAGCATGACATAAACAGACACAATGAACACATAAGGGCCCTTTTAGCATAAAGGACCTCAGTGAAAGTGGGTCAGACTTGGTCCAAAGGTGTCCACATATTATGAAAATTGGTCAGGGGACATTCATCAAAGATGTCCACCGAGGTTTATTCAGATTGACCTTTTGACCTTGGTATAATAAGCTGTAGTCTTTAAATGAATAATTCAGAGAAGAAGTACAATTTATGTCATAACATGTAATCATGAAGTTATTCAGATCAGTGAACTGAATCAAAGACACCTGTTATTTATCTGTAGACTTTGTAATATTGTTGTAACAACATTTTTAAAGATTTTAGGTGTTTTTGAGTGCTAAAGCGCCCCCTATTGGCCAATCAGGATCAAATTTTTCAAGCCATATCAGAGTCTCAATTTATAGATATATTCACAATTTTGAGATGATCGGACCAATGACTGATGAGCTATTGCTGAAGCAAGACCATAATGAGGAAAAAATGGAAAATATGCTGGATAATTAAATACCTAGAGAGGCTACAGAGTATTTCTAGACCAGTTTTGTGAAGGTAGCTTCACATTCCACAGACTAGTTCGAAAAGTGCTAATTTAAATAGACTTATAATAACAGAAGTGTTTGGAAGACCGCACTGCATGAGGGCATCTAAGTTATTTAACCAAAAATGACAATCTGTACAAGATATACTTGATTTTCAGTAATAGCGCCCCCCAGAGGCCAAATATTTTGGAACTTCGCAGGTTATTAGAAGGTGGTGAGATAGAGACAGCCATCAAGTATCATGAGGATTGGCCAATAGTAAGCCTGTCAAATGGCTGCTGAAAGCTTATTTTTTGGGTGAAGGATTCTCGAGTTACAGATTTTTCAATTAAATAAGAATTATTTTGATTTTTCCAGAGGGATTAATTTGCATATGGCAGCCATATTGTTTACAAAATCGAAAATGTGCTGGATAATTATTGAGGTTTAGGCTATGCTGAATTTTTGACACCAAAAACATGAGGATAGGATGAAAACTGTAGGACAAATTAGCTCAAAATCTAAGTGGGCGAAGCTTAATGGTCCAAATTACAAAGTTGTTTTGTTGGACCTAAGAAATCAGGAAAAAAATGTCTGTCAAAAATCTGGGGAAGGAGTTAAAGGGCCAAACGTGTTGTGTTGCATAATAGCACCACCTTTAGGCCGATTGGGCTCATGTCGCGCACCTGAGTAGTGGGAGGGACTACTACCCATTGACCATGTTTCATGTCTCTAGGACTTATGGTTTGGCCGGGCGATTCGTTTTATCGGAGAAAAAAAAGAAGAAGAAGAAGAAGAAGAAAAACTCCAACAATAACAATAAATAAAATAAAATCCTCTAGCAAAATGTTAAGCATCAAAACGTCAGAAACATTGCAAATACAAATAATGAGAGATTGCACTGGCATGTCCAACGTTATAAACAAAGTTTGTCATATTCCTTTAAAATGATTAATGTACCACGATTTCAAGGTAATTTGTCTCCCTGGGTACAATATATATATATATATATATATATATATATATATATAAGTGTATCAGTCAGCTGTTAAATGAATTGCTGCCAGCAGTGACTTAATACAGCCATGAGATAGACAGTCATGTTTCATCACTACAATATGGAGTGAAGTCAAGATGTCATGCTTGGCCATCACGTTCTAAGATTTATGAAAGCTTCTATGTCAGCATCTGAAACCAGCTTCCTATTTCAGCACAGCAGTTTAATGTTAGATATTCAAGCTATTTAATTCCATTTTTCTATCACTGTATGGCCAGCCTAGTTAGCCTTAGAGGTCACAGCTACGTACAAACCCGAAAGGTGGTACAGCTTCATTCAACAACTTTGTGATTCAATGCTCATATTGTTTTATGCAGGGCAACATAAGACCTTAAATAAGTGTCACATTAATAACCTAAACAGAAGACGAAAAACATCATAATGACAGATGTCATTATGTCACTCCAAAACAATTGACCAATAGACTGTGCAGATGAATGCAAAAAAAAAGTATCAACAAAATTGGCAAGTAAAAAACATAAGCAATGACTTTCAAAATGAGGAATATAATTATTTCAAAATGAGTGAAATGAGTAGTAGTTTTTCTGAAAAAATAAGTATGAATTTTGATACTTAACATTTTGCTTGTGGATTTTATTACTTTGTAATTCGAAACTTTTGGCACAAAATGAGCTCTATAGTGGTGACAGCTTTCCAGAGCTACTGAGCCAAAACGAGCCCCCAGACATGGCATTTATGTTTTAATCCCAGTCATGGTATTTATGTTTGTTTTAAACTTGGGCTGGTGGCATTAAAGAAGAACTCAGTATTTAACATGTCAAGTATTTTACAATGGCCACATATTAGATTTCACAACTGGATTTTTATAAGTAATATTTCAATGGGATACGTCCTTGATTTCAGGCTTGTCAGTTAACCATTAATCATTGACTAATGACGGTAGGTTATCAGCTGACCATCCTGTGCATCTGATGCTGTTGCTTCTGCCTTGATCGGGTGCCCACTGCTCGCCAGCCTTCTGGACCGGTTTGACCACCATGGAGTTTCTCGCTGTACATCGCTGGGCAAACCTCACCTTCATGAACTGACCCTCCTGCTGCTGCTGCTCAGACTCAAACTATCTAATTAACCATTGCTCCACCTGTTTTTCCCTGTTTTGTATTCTAATATTTTATTCTAATGTTGTTTGCTATCCGGTGTGGTCCAGAGGAGGATGGGTTCCCCTTCTGAGTCTTGGTTCCTTCCTTTCTTCCTTTTGCTCTTAGGGAGTTTTTCCTTGCCACTGTCTCCACTGGCGACGCTCATGGGGGCTCGGACCCGGATTTTTCTGTAAAGCTGCTTTGTGACAACACCTTTTGTAAAAAGCGCTACATAAATTTTGCAACAAGCATTTTCACTCTTGCTGGTCTCACTCAAGAAATAATCCCACACTGCTGACACGTTGCTTGCTTCAGATAAGTTCTATCTGCTGGCCCGTTACCAAGAGTTACTCAGTAGCAAGCGTGCAAGTCAGAAACTGTGCTAGTATCAGGGGATGGTAGAAGTTGCCCCTTTATGCTAAGGACAGTGTTGAGTTTTGCTTTTTCTGTTGGGGCAAATAATATACAAGCTCACTAGCTAACTCTTTACATCTAGATCGCAAACCTGATAGCTGGCGATGCCACAGCCTTCCGTGTCCGGAAGCAGAATCGTGTGATTGGAGGAGACCTATCTACCGAGTGGAACTGGACATGAGGAAATTAGGAAAAATGCAAAAAATAATACAATACAAACATGACAGGAATATTACAAACAAAAGAAACCTTATTTAACAACCTTAAAACAATAACAACAGTAAGACTGCGGCAGTACAGCAAATGTGCATGCACTGGTGTTACAGGAGCTACAGGCAGGTGGTGCAGAGCTGAAGGCTGACATTTCTGGCAGAGGTGGAATGTAAAGTCGTAATGAGGTCTCAGAGCTAAAAGTGAGGTTAAATGCCTGCTTTGCAGACCATTTAACCTTCTGCACCTCCTTTATCTGTTGACAAACCTCTCAGCAGGGAAAAACAGTTCTGTTTCTGGCAAAATATTGGTTAGAAGGAAGTTCGTGACTGTGTGAGGCTTGACTTACTACAAAGAAAAATATAATGAAACAGTATGAAACTACCTGTGACCACATTTCACGAAACTTATAAATAACACATTTTCACAGCCTCACAGCCTCACTTTACTCCAGCACTGAAATGTGCCATAAAGGCCCCACTGCCAATCACATCACCAGGTGCTTGTAGTTAATCAGTGCTTTGGCTTTTCAAAAATGAACACTGACTTCACAAGTAAAGAGCTATAACTAAACCAAAATGCATAAAGAAGAAACTGTCCAAAAAATATTTAAGGTGGAGTTCAAAATGTCGGACATAACGCTGATTAAACTAATACATAGTCCCTGTATGTTAACAAAACTAGGGAACATAACTGCTCACTGCTAACAAAGACTAGTAGGAGGCCCTGGTTTATATATCAAAGGATAGACATCATGATAAACTACAATCATCATAATGATCATTTTGATCAAGATAAAATTTTGTTGCCTCCACTCACCCCCAGCTTCCTGCTCCGCATTCGGACGTAGCCCTGCTTGACAATGTCATTGAAGTTGGAGGCCATCTCTGAGGCACCTGGGAGCTGCTGGAGCCGATGGACGCTGGCATCCAGCCCTTCTGTTCCCTCCGTCTGCCGTTCCAACCAAACACCTCCTTTCACTCTCTCACTCCTTCTCCTGCTTCAGTCCTCACTCAGTTCTTGCTCTCCCAGATATGTGATCTCACCTGCTGAAGAAACGAAGCCCTCAGTTCATCTGGGGTCCTGGGTCTCTCATCGCTCCAGCATGATCTCTGCAAAGGAACGAGAGGAAAAAAAGGAGAACATCTATTATTGATGCTCTATTCCTGGAGAATGGAGGTTGCCCGTGCAGGCATGCAACATGACCATAGATTATTCATTGACTTGCCAGACACTGTCTTTCAGGGCACGAGGCTTGCCTATCATGTGATTTCACTGACCAGGCATATCTTTTTTGGGTTACTAGAACCTGACTTCTTCAGGTATTTGTGCCAGACTTCCAAGAAAACATGGCAAAAGTGAACAAATTCTAGTCGTTTTAGAGCAAATTCTTACCCAATTGGTTCACAAGACAAGACCACCTCAGCTGTACAATACACTTAGCAAATATTTAAAAATTTAACACTAAATGATTGGTCGATTGTTCTGTGGTGAAAAAGAAATCACCCACCGATAATAATCATTGAGACTGTGATTGGAGCAGAGCTGCTTGAACATACTGGGAGGGACCAAACATAAAGCATTCATTTACTTCTGGTAAAGTACCATAAGTGGTTATATATAGTGATAGCACTAAACATACAGCACAAATCTTTGAAGCTAAACTGAAGCCCTTAAGCAAGCTGAGGAAGGTCCTCCACATCTGAATAATTATATCATCCCTATTCTCTTGCCCGTCACATTTCTCCATTTCAACTAGAGAAGGTTTGTGAGAGAGACAGAGAGAGAGAGAGACAGACAGAGGGAGACAGAGAGAGAGAGAGAGAGACAGAGAGAGGCAAAATTTCCTGACTGCAGTGGAACGCAGACATTAAACTTTAACAAGCAGCTCATTAGCCAGGACAGAGCTGGGCTAATCGTTCTCGGCACTGTTGGTTTTAAAAAGTGGCTTGCTTAAGGGAGGAAGGAGATAAAACACATTTGTGTTCAAGATCAGTGAAATTTAGTGCAGATATATGGTTTCCATGTCACCAAAACAAGCCTTTTCCTACTGAAATGAAAGGAGTTTAGCATAAAGTCGTGGGCTGGCTGTAAGGACATATTCATGGTGAGGTGAATGATGTAATTACTAGGAGTTCACCGTGAGCTCTTGAAATAGACATAAAAGCTCTTAAGAGAAAACTGAACCTGCCTACACACCATAGTAAGATGCAATGGATTCACTGTGCGATCTGCAAGACGTCTTGCCTGCGTCACAATGTAATAAGAACTTCTTGTGTGAATAAAACATACATCAGATACAGACCAGCTACCCAAATACAATGTCTGAGAAACACAAGCCAGAAAAGCCTTAGAAATCTCTGCCTTGAAGAACTGACTCTTGATAATAACACTTGAATTAACACTTAAAAACTAGCTCACACTGCTTCTTAGGGCACACATTGCAACCTTATTTACTACGGAAGGGAAACAATTGTGGCTGAGGGTGCCAGGTTTCAGCCGAGGTAACAGGTAACTAATCAATACAGACGCCAGAAAATCCCACCCAGCCCCCTACTGCACCAGCTATAAACAGCTTGTTAAGACACGGGCAGCACTACTAGCAGGGAGGGGGATTGAGCAGGAACAAGCCTTGAACATCTGTTTTCATTGTTAAGTGCTGGTATTGACACAGAGCTGAGAGCTGGGCACAGACAGAGCTGTCTCTGCTAACCGTCTGGCTGATGATGGGCCTGCACTGCCTCATCACCAGGCCTTAAAAATACATTGTTTACCATGTTGCTTGGTCACATGCTGGCCACGTAATCTACCTCCAAAGATGTTGCAAACACTGCAAATAACAATTTCCCAGTATACAGACCACCAAAAGCCCAACACGTAACCCTATGATACAGCAGTCAACCTACGGTATTCTACCTGTAATATTCAGTTCTATACAAATGTATTTGTAAAGCACTTTCTATGTTAGACTAGGGATGAATCAGAATGTTTGAATATTTGAAAGTTTATTTAAAAAAAGAAAACAAGCAAAAAAGTATCTTATTTCTGTGCCCTATGATGCTTTGAGTGGCGTATGGAAAAAACCTCCTGCAAAGTGTAAATAGCAGTGATGCACGACTCCAGGCTTTCTGGAGTGGCTCCAATACTCGACTTCTGCCACTGGAAATGATGGAGTCGATTTTAACCAAGAGAGCATCAGAACCGGTGATAAAGGGATACAGCAGAGATTATATCATCTTAAACAGTTACCCAGTTTTTGAGCAGCTACATATTACAGTGATATGATGACAATTCAGCCTATTTCACATAATGCGGCTAAACTCAGTGTTAAGTCTATGAAAAGGAACCATTTTCACATTCAACTTCAATTCTTTGAAAAAACATCCAAGTGGTTCCTCTTTGTAAGATGGAGCAGTTATCAGGTAGAACAGAAATCTGCATAAGAAGCTGGTAAATTAGGAGCAAATCTCAGCTTCATTCTCTTTTCCATATGTTTTTGTGCGCAGTTTATGCTTACAGCAGCTGCTGAGTTGGTAATAAAGTTATTTTTATTTCAACTTTATAATTTTGTTCACACTGTCAAGTCCAGGCATAAAACCATAAAAGCCACAAAGGCCATATGTCATAATTTTAACTAGTGCTAAGATGATGGTCCTCGTATGTTATATTAGCACCAAGCTAGTAGGGTTAGCTCGGCATAATTATGGATTTACATTTACATTTACATTTACATTTACATCATTTAGCAGACGCTCTTATCCAGAGCGACTTACAAAAAGTGCTTTGTCTATCCAGAGAAAGAATCTTCGCTAGCTACCAACAGGTTAGAGAGAAAGTCAGTCCTAAGCTCAGATACTGGTAGAATCAGAAGGTCATTGACACCTAGTGAAAAAAGGGACATTTAGATGTCAGCTCTTATCTTAAGCTCATAACAGGCATGTAACACGTTTTTCTTTGTATGTCTCATTTTTTAAGTAAGTCCTTCTGTGAAGGTTTGAACTCAAAGTTTGTCTTTTATTATCAGAGTGTTAGCCTGTTAGCTTTCTGCTAATTTGGTCAGCCTGCTCTAATGAGGGCGGAATATATCCAGTTAAAGCGTAAACCAGTTAAAGAGAGTCTATAAACAGCAACCAGTGATGCTGAAATAGCAAATCTTCATCTGGTTGGATTTTATGCCCAAAGATTGTAATAACTGGGCTTTTTCAAGCAGTGATTATGAAGCCATGTTCATTTGTCCTTTGAACTCTGCTTCCTTCACAGGTTTAGGCTCGTAACATTCCTGTTCTTGCCATTGTTCTTCTTGTTTTACTCAGCGGCAGTGACAGCCACAAACCCCCAGACATGATTCAAAGACATGTATTTGGACATAAAACAATATCTTCATAAGTAATATTCTGTACCTGAGCTAAGCTGTGCCCAGTCCTAGGAAAGTCTGTCCGCTCAACTGCCATTTTCACAACACCGCCAGGCAGTTATTTCCAGTCATACAAGACCAGAGCCGCATCATACAAAAACATCATAACTCTGAAATCTAACTTGATCTGTTTAATCACCATGACAACTTCTGTTAGGACTGTAGCTATTAGCAACAGTTCTTAATTCATAATCTTATCATAACTCCAGATAAGAAAACAGTTTCACAGAAGCATCCTGACTGGAGAAAATTTCCTAAATACTGTCCTAACTTCAAGGCAAGCTCAGTGGTGTTGTAACGTCTGCTTTAACTGTCTGTTTTTATTGTTTTTATATTGTATTTGTGTCAGGCAGCATAGTTCGCTCCCAGTATAATGATGTTAGTTATTTACATTGCAAAACAGTGATTTCAGAGAGGTTTTTGTTTGCTAACTCTGCATTTTAAAAATCCCAGACACTGCAGACATGATTTTCACCATCCCCTCTCATCACCGTTGTGTTAATGTTAATGATAAAATATTATAGTGATGGTTAATAATGTGGAGAGAGTGTTGAACGCGTGTTTAAAAGGAGGAATAACATTAGCACGGCTAGCACTCCGGATAAATGTTTGGGAAGTGGAAACTGAAACTGGGGAGCAGCAACACTCAGTGCGGGCGCTGTCACATTATATCTTAGCTTCCAGTGTATTGCACTTTAGTTTTGTTTTGACCTTTTTTACATAAGTAACGGTAGCTGTCGAACATACATTTTAACTACCCCAGGCTTCTATCTCTATGAATAAGGAGGGCCCAAAAAACTTAAAGGCCAAATTACCTTTTCAGAAGCATATTTTTAATCATTTTCCAACCAGCAAGTTTCTCCTTCCTTCTAACGTCTCCGGCCAGCTGGCTAAAGGCCACCACACACTGGAGGAGAAGTTTCGCACTATTCCAACAGAGGGTCTCTGGCACTGGAGCGGCTATAGCACATAAACATCCTTCTCAAAGTCTGATAAAGCGCTCCAATATACAACAGCGTTAAAATGTTAAAATTTTGTTAAATGAATACATCCTTCTATATAAACAATTTTCACTATTTACAAACTATGATTTTGCTCAAAATGCTCCATATTACATACAGTTTTGCATTCAGACCCAGCCATGAAGGCTGCATATTGTTTTATGAGGAAACCATGCAAAGTAATGCACCATGGTTTTAGTCAATCAAGGAGGTATGGATGAAAAATGTGCTGTATTATTCAATGTACCTTGCGTTACCATGGGAACTGCAGCATGTCCCAAGGACCTGAGCCAAGGTTAGGCAGTACAAATCCCTGACAGAATAAAATGAGCCAAGGTTTGAAGAACGAGGATGAAAAATGGGAAAGCGACAAAGAAAACATATCAAAAACTGTTTTCACCTATTAACTTTTTACACACTTAAATACTGCAAACTAATTAATTTGATATTTTGTTCCAACAAAGCAAAGGTTTGAAACTAAGGGCTGGAGTTCAGCACAGTTTGTGGATTCCTGTGCTCCAACACAGCAACTAAACATGGTAATTAACTAATGAGTTGGTGTGTTTGAGCAGGAAAATCATCAAACTGTGCCTCCAGGTCCGGAGTTCTTCACCACGCTAATACGGTCTACGAACACAACACTTTCTGATTAAAAAGAAATCAACTGAAGCGCAAGAGAAGGTATCACACATTACAA